GTTGGGCACTGAAAGCGCTGACATGCCAACAGGTAATTAGCATAGCCCCTGCTGGCTGGGCTCTCATGGAAGGAACAAGAAAATGAAGACGTGAAGAGTCAGGCAGGTACCGTGTGCAGTCAGCAGACAGGGCTGAGAGGTGCCGGAGGGCTGAGTCAGCCGGCTGGCACTCAACGACAAGAGAAGCCAGACCCACGGGAGCTCCTCAGGAGTCTTCTGAGAAAGGCAGTAACACAAGAGGGAGGCTAATACATACTGAAGACAGAAAGGAAGGCCTCAGCCCACTGACAGCTCCTCTGATCCCAAATTTACATCCAAGGAAAATCAACGCAAGTGGCCAGGTGATTTAGACACAAAATTTTAAAAACCCCTCCAATAAGGACACACCAGAAAAGACATGATCTCAACCTCCAGGAAAAAGATTTAGTGACCCCTAGAATCACTTCAGGCCCAGCAGCAGTAGGTGTTCCATAAAAGGCTGATGAATGGACACCAGGAGAAAGCAATGTCAGCTGTACAGTCCGTGCGCGTGAAGTTGCTCGCAAACCCATAACCAAGAGCTACGAGGGGAAGTGAGAGAAACCACAGGCGGGTTACTCACCAACCGCACTGGATCCCAGCACAGCACAGGCTGAGAACAGAGCTGGAAGCCATGGAGAAGACTGCACGGGGCAGCACGTGCTGCTGTGGAAGCCAGGAGCCTTGTTTTCACATCAGACACCAGTGGCCCCTGCTCAAGGCAGGACCAGGCCAACCTGAGCTCTCAGTATTTGTGTGTGTGTGTGTGTGTGTGTGTATACAGAACTGAGATACAGGCCAGAGGTGTGGGGGTGAGAGCTCATCAGACACCGAGAGGGGAGCAGAAGAGGCAGATTTACTGAAATATACAGTGGGTGAGACAGGAGAGGTCTGCTCTGCCATGCGGGTCAGCTTCCTGGTCTGTGCATCCTGGTCTGGGGTTGTACTCAGCCTGCAGTGGTGATAGCGCTGAGACTTAACCCTGAGGCCACCAGTCAGGCCTTTACACCTCATTTTAATTGCACCCTCAGAAGAGATACAACCCTTCAAGATGAGGGTGGATTGGGGCAGGTGCCTGTGGTCAGGACAAAGTGGTGACCAGTTGAGATCAGTGGAGCTCCATAAGTGATTTTACAGTCATTTATGGGCTTGTCCTGCCCTAATTCTAGAAAGCTAGTACTGACCTCCAGGCCAGCACTTCTGCCTCCCCCAAATGGTCAGGGTCTTTTTGTGCACCAAGAGCTGGGGATTTGTCCAATGATGAACAAGCAGAGAGGTGGGTAGTCTATTCTGACCAGTGTGGCCCCGAAGGGAGCCTTGGAGTTACAAACAGCAAGGGAAGGTCAAGGAACAGTGTAGAGATGTGAACCAGCCACACAAGGAAAGAATAGAGACACTAAAGAAAAAAACTCTTAGGGAAACCTGACCCAATACTCAAACTGTTACTTGGGAAAGATATTGGGCACACTCTCCAATGCCAGGAAGCCAACCTGTATCCAGAAGTTGGGATTTACCTAAGGGACAAACTGCCTCCTGCCTCCTGGCAATTTATGTAAAGAAAAACAAATAGTTACTTAAGGCAGAATTTGCTCCTAGCCTCCAGAGGGTTGAGTGGAATGGGAAGAGAGGTGCAGAAATTCTGAAAGAACCCACAAGAAAATGCATTTGGGTTCATCAGAGGTAAGTGGTTGCTCTTCCTGAAGGATACAACTTTCAGGTCTTCTCAAACTAATGTGGTTCCAACAGTTTCTCATAAGAAATCTCACACTCTCTATCTTTCAAGCTAAACCTAGGGAAAAGATAAATCAGAGTGGCCGATGGGAGCATCTTTGAAGAGGTGAGCCTCACAGCTGCGTTTGAGCAGTTTCCAGGATGCGGCACAGATAAGACAGGTGCAATCTGAACAGGACACTAGAACTACGGTCCCTTCTCCCATGGACTTTCATATTGAATGGTCAAGTTGCAGACAAAAAGGTCCAGCTACACTTGAGGACACAGACCATATGTCCCCTTTTCCACTTGGTGTCCCTGTGGGTGGATGATGTGGATATTTCAAAGGGATTTTAGAAATACTCAATGCCATGGACAAGTGAACTTCTTATCAGAACCCACTTAAAATCACCTCATGGAGTGTTTTCTAGAAAATATTGCCTGTATGCCATCTTTCCACTTATCCAATCACTCTGTAAATAACTGTGGGCCTTTCAAAGCTTGACATTAATGAGTAAAACCCAAAAAAGTGCTCTTTCATGCCTGCTAACTGGGAGATTCAGACAATAAACTAACATACTGTACAAATAATTATTCCATCAGTTTTCTGTGCATGCTACAAAGGAAATGACTGGTTCTAAACTTGTCCAGTGTGTACTTTCAAGATGTATTCTCTAAGGGAGCATAGATACCATGTTTTACAAGCCCTCAAATGTGTGGCTCCCAGGCTAGTCTCTATGGCACTGCTCTGCAAAACCACAGTCTGATGGGGCTAGAAAGGCCACAGAGATTCACTCACTGCAGTGGCCTCCTCTTTAGCATACATGTCACAGATGCGTTATTTGAAACTATGATTCTATGGTTCAAAGGAGGACTGGAGAACCTGCATTTCTAACCACATGATTCAATTGCTGTTCTTCTGCAGACAATATTGAAGCAGCATGACTATCAGGCATTTGAAAAGACCTAAATCTATGAATAGCTATACTATGTTCATGGACAGAGAGACTCAGTCATAAAGATGTCAGCTTTAACACGTAAGCTTAATGCACTTCCAGCCAAGATCCCCATGGAATCGGTTAGTTCTTTACTGTAGTTGTGGTTTTAGAATTGTTTAACCTGACAAACTGACTCTTCCACTTCATGTGGAAGTCAATTTTGAAAAAGTACAAAGTAAGGGGCTTGTCTTACCAGTGCAAGGCTTACAATCAAACTATAAATGTGGTTCTGACACACAATTAGGCAAGGAGACTGGTGGGAAGATGAGTCCTCTCAGGAAAACTAGATGTGGAAGAAGTCATTACAAATCAGAAGGGACAGGATAAGTGGCTCAGGAAATAGAGCTGGAGAAATTGATTATACTTTAAAAAACTGGATTCCTATTTTGTACCATCTGCAAACATAATATTCCATGCAGATTATATTCCTAAATTTGAAAAAATGAACATTTCAAAATCTTAGAAGAAAATACAATTTTTTTTTACAACTTTGAGGTAGGAAACATATCTTAAATAAGACACCAACTGTGCAAACCAAAAAGATTGACAAACTTGACTTCATTAAAACTGAAATTCTTGTATGCTATAAATGAACACAATAAGTCACACGAGGAAAAGCTATTTGCAACAGATACTAGTAGCTAGAATATACCAACTATTCTTGCCTGTAAGAGAAAACAAGCAAAGAGAAAAGGATATAAACAGGAAGGTCACAGATAAAGGAACCAAAAGGGGAAGACATGAAAAGATGCTCAACCTCACAACTAATTAGGGGACTGCAAGTTTTAACAAGTGGAATATCATTTCACACCACTCTCCTGGCAAACCTTAACAACTCTGACCAGACCAAGTTCTATCTCGAAGAGGGAATTCTCCAGCATTCATGCTTGGGCAGTAATTTAGAACGACTCCTTTAAAAAGCAATGTGACATTATCTGCTAAAACTAATGATGCCTGCAGTCTCTACCCACCAGCTCCACGCTTAGGTATGTGACAAAAACCCTCGTTTACACATATGGGAAAGCCTGGGCAAGACGTTCTTTCCATGTACTTCACAACCGTGGGAAATGGTAAGAGCCTAGAGGCTCTAGCGCTCGGAGCTGGTTAAATACAATGTGGCCTATTCATTCACTGAAGTAGTATACAGCAGGAAAAACTGAGCGAAAGTCACATGTATTCGTGTGAGCATGTTCAGAAACCAATACTGAGTAAAGAAACAAAATTATGAAAGTGTCAGTAGTGAAGAACATTAGTATAAAATTGCTTGCAGTTTCTTAAATAAAAATTGTTAAAGCACACAAGAAAGATCTAGGTGTCACTTGAGATATATATATTTGGGGCATAAATAAGTTTATATATACTTGGGAAATATAAAGTCCACTGTCCCTCTAAATTATTACTAGTTAGCCTTAGGGGAGGGGAAGGTTCTTCAACAAAACCAGACTTTTTCAAATTGAAAAGCCTCAGAAGACCTTCGCCCTACAAATGAAGCTGCTCTTCAATACTGGAAGCCAGGGGTGTTTCTACAAAGGCTCCATGCCAGAGCCAGCGTGCATGGCTAGGCAGGCTGGCACTGCACACCCAGAGCATCGCTTCACCAGGTTGTACAGAGAATAACACAGACAACCGTCCATGACAGCCCTATCATTCCTCGGCCACTGGCCCCTTTGGAAGACGATGTCCATTTCTGGAGAAATGCCCGTCCACACAATTACTGCCTAAGTATCCATGGATTCAGTACTTCCTCCCTGACAATCAGTGTGCGCAGCAGCCACACACTTCCAGGGGTGAGTGCCCACATCCTTCAAGTGCTTGCAGACAGAGCTGGGCCCGAGCTCTTTCTTAATCACATTTGAACCCGCCTCTTCCATTACAGTTGATCCATTTCTTTCGTCCTGACACTTCAGCTACTCAGAGAGAGCTAACCTGTTCTCCCTGGAGCCTTCTGCCCTCCATGCTAAATATACTCTTGCTCCACTGATTGGAAACAAGCCCTGTCTGCTCCTTTGTGAAAAGGAGAATTTTCAAACTGTCCCTCATTTCCCCAGCAATTCTTGTCCTCAGACAACGAGACAAGCTGACCTTGATCCCAGAACCGCACGGCCTTTCTCCCAGCTGCCCTGTTGGGAAACCTCGAAAGTTCTCCGCTCTGACTTCCCAATGGCCAAATGCCCACAGCAGCCAGGAAGGCGGAGGCTGGCGGGAGGGCCAGCCTTCTGCAGAGGCAGGGATGTTAACTAGCAGAACCAGGGCAGAGGGGTCACTTCCACTTACTCCCAAAACTCCATGACAGGGGAGGTGGCGTTCTGCAGGGCCACGTGGCTGTGGTTGCTCACGTTCAGTTTCTGGAACTCCACACACTTATCTACAGTGGAAATAAGACAAGAAAGGCAAGAAGGTCAGGACCTCTGTGAGGGCTGGGTCTTGGGAAACATTCAGAGTTGATGGTGCAACCGGGTGCTTTTACCCAACAGCCACAAGTAAACACCTCTCAAAGAATACCGTGGGGGAATTATTAACTTAGAGTTGAAGAGTGGCTGGCCTGTGGACTGGAGGAGCTATGGGCTGGCTGCCTTCTCTCCTTCACTCCTAGTCAGTTTTCGATCAAAGCCTTTCCTCCTATCTTGTTGCCAATCCTCCCCTATCCCCACCCTCTGTCCATGGCATGTACCTGCTCTGCTCAGTGAGCCTGGCGCGAATGACGGTGCTGAAGCAGGGGGTCCACCTTGGGGCCCCCCAGGAAGTACCACAGTTGAGACTTAATTTTCCTTCATACGAAAAGAGCCTGAAAGCACACCTGCCTCACAAAGGTGATTATTAGGGGAGGAACACGTCAGTCTCCGTGTACACAGCTTCCTTCATTTCCTTACTAGATCAATCCATCCAAGAGAGGATACACTATATGTGTCTTCTCATGCCGTGGAAATTTATTAAGGGAGATACGAACACCAGCATGTACCTTTGTTAAGGCCCTAGCAACCCATTAATTCCTCCTCTAGGAAGCCTTCCCTGGTCCCCCTGCCCTGAATGCCACGAAGAAAATGCACCTCTGAGGGACCACTTCTCCAACGCCCTTGACTTTGAAGAGGCAGAATCTAAGGTTCAGAAACAACCAAGGAGCTCACATCTGCGTCTTCTCGCTCTCCTACAAGTCACAGTCACTTGGAGGCAGAACTGGGAATCGCCTCCAGCCAAGGTTCCTGTTCCTCTGCCATCGTCATGCCCAGTCCTGCCCACCACCATGGCGCCTGTGCCTCCCTCAGTACCTACCTGCGCCCACACTCTGCCCCCAAACTGGGCTCCCCGAGGGCCGAGCCCTGCACCCAGCCATTTCAGCGCCTGTGCCCTGCAGGGAGCCAGTCTTCAGGCTCAATTCTGTATCTGCAAGCTCTGTGGCAGGAAGGACCCCTCTGCGTGATGGCTTACACATCACGGGTGTTAACAACACCTGCAGAGCCAGGGGTGCAAGCCAGTGGAAGGACGAGGTCTGCAGTCTGCTGAAGAAAAGCCCCGGCTAACTGTCTGCCGCCGTGCCTGGCTCCTGGCAAGTGCTGACCAAATCTGGAAGGACGTACTCAGGGGGGTCCACAGCACGCAGAGGAGGCGGGACGCCGGGTCACATCTGGCTGTGCCCTTGTGCCTCCTGCTGCCAGGGGTGCCCTGAGCGCCGATTAGAGTACCTGAAATACTGTTCCTTAATTTTTTTTCTTTTCTGGAGTTAAACAATTTCTCAGACACCCAGGGTTGACAAGGTATTTTTATTAAAATGGGATGTTACCATGTGTAAGCAATGAGTTACTAAGCCTCTGTGATTGTAGCCCTCATAGCTATACAACCAGAATTAAAATTTCAAATGAAACACAGAAATAATCAAGGGGTCCACACCTGCACCCGCTCCCTCTTCTACAAGTCACAGTCACTTGGGGCAGAAGTGGGAACCACTTCCAGCCAAGCATCCGGTTCCTCTGCTAGGCACCCAGTACAATTCAAATCAAGAGCGGATGGTGGATGCAATGGATGCGAATTGCTTGGGGAACGTGGCAAGCAGAAACGCGGAACCGTCAGGAGGAAGTTACCTGTGCAGTCAGTCAGTCCATCCTTCCATGTGCTTTTTGAGATTCAATCCCACCACCATTTTTGCCTGATCACGCTTTTGCAAAACCTTCATTCCTAGAGTATGTGGCATTCTCAAATAAACACCACGTACAGCCAATGCACCTGCCCTAATTCAACCTCACTGCTGTCTCCCCTGAGCTACTAGCATCCTATTCACCGGGGCGGCACTTAAACTGTAGACACACACAAACTCAGGCAGTGAAACAGAGGTTGCACAGACAACCCAGAACATGTGCATATTTTTAGAGTATCCTCAAAATAAATACACAGTTATCATGGGGGAGGGAGAGAACTCAGAAGCCTCCCAAGAATCTGCCCTTGAATTTTAGTTTGAAAGACATCTCTATGAGGAGCCTGGTCAAAGAAAAGTAAAAGCCAGGACCCGAAAGTGCAACAGTGAGATCTCTGAAAAAAAAGTGAAGATGGGAGAACAGGGCAACGTCCCACAGAGTCGGAGCTGCGTTCTAGGTGAATGCCGGCTAGTGACCAACTTGCAACTGGTATCTCAGTCTTTAGAATGACAGACCACTTCCAAGACAACCTGACCCCATGTTATGACACAGATGGTGAACAGATTAAGCAGGTGTGTCAGTTCCAGTCATAAAGGCAGTGGCTTCATGGAGCATGCTGCAAAGGGTTCTGAGGCCAAAACTGAACTCAAAGAGACAAGTTCTATGATTGATTAGTGATGTCTGCCCGGAGAGCAGCTACTGCCGTAGAGGGTGGACATGTATTTGCCTTCCCTGGGTTATAAGACTCAGTACTGATGGGACGACAAGTTCAAAGGCAAGCAGTATGAGGGAAACCAAAGTAATCTAAAAGCTTCTCCATTCTAGGGCATGGGGAAGGTTGGTGGATTCAAATATTGACCAGGGTGGACAGGCAAACAATCCAGGTGGACTGGGTGGGGACCATGACCAGCTTGAAGACAGATGCCTCATCCAAAGGCAACAGCCACGGCACAGCAGCCACGCTGCCGACTAGGAGCGTGGCGACGTGGCCCGGCAGCTCTTTCGACACTTCTCAGAGAAGCCGGAAATCTGGATTGTCATCGAAAATCTGATCTTTCCAAACAAGGCAACCAGATTCTTTTTTTTTTTTTCCTGTCATTGATCCCAAAACTCACTGGCCTGTGTACAACCTTTGATCTAGTCTAGCTCTTCATTTAACTCAGGAAATCGGACACTCGGGGAGGCAGAGCCAGAATCAGAGACTGAATCCTGGGCTCTCAGTCTCGTGTGCCCACGCTGGGGCCCCCAAAGGGCTCACTCTGAGTTTGGCAAGGCAAAGAATCACCTTTCTTTTCCTTATGCCAATACGTGGCCAGCACTCACATTGGACTTCATGGCTGCCACCCGCAGAGTGAATCCAGGCCAGACCTGACCCCCCGCTTCAGCAAGGCCACCCCCAAAAACTGCATTCACAGCAAGAGGCCTGGATGGGTTTCCAGGACAAGGACACACCCCAATACAAGTTCCCAGCAGAACCGGCACAAGACCACGCCACGGGCCATACCTGTGTTCCACTCATGCCCACAGCTGGCCCAGGGGAGCTCGGTGGTGAAGCAGTTGCTCAGGTAGAAAATGGCCCAGGCCAGGATGATGATATAGTACACGTTTAGGTGGGCCTCGATCACCTGGGTGGCGTAGCCGATGCCTGTAAGAACAAAGCAGTGAGCCACGCGGGCCTCTGCACCTTCCAGAGGCATCTTCTGCAGCGTCCACAGCCTGGTACCACCGGCACCGACTTTCCTTCTGATGAACTTGACACTTACCTTCAAATAAAGGGCAGATCTTCCTCCAGCACGTAATGCCACCTTCACTCGTGAATTGTCCCAGGGCCGTTTCCAGGAAAAAAACAGGAATTCCACAGCAAATAAAAAAGACCACGTAGGGAATCAGGAATGCGCCTGTGAGGACGCAAAGGAAGGAAGCGGGGTTAAAATCGCCCCTGCCGGCCCTCCCTGGTGGCGCAGCGGGTTAAAGTGAAGCACTGAGAAGCTAAAGCCGCTTCCACATGAGTTCGATCCCCGCCTGCCCCGGAGGTGACCACAGGGCGCGGCAGACCTCTCCTGACCTGCCCGCTGCTCCCCTCAGCAGTGGACTTCATGGATCTGCCTGTTCTGCTCCCCACTCTGGTGAAGCCTCTCGCCACCCCTGAGCCTCTGGCCTGTACCCCAGTTCTGTATGCACAAATAAATAAATCTTAAAAAAAAAAAATCGCCCCTGCCATTTCACTCGGCTCAAGAACCGGGGGCCTGCAGCAAGCAGGAGGCGGCCTTCCCAGGGCTGAGGTCGGGTTCCCACTGGGAGGGCCAGCGTCAGGAAATGGGGCCGGGCTTGTTCTTCACCCACTGTGACCTGCGCGAGTCTGCCTCAGCCTCCCCTCCGCCTCCGTGAAATGGAGTCTCCAATCTGCCCAAGTCAGAATCGGTGCATAACTAAGCCCCGAATGTGTTGTGTGCTTGTTCTGTTATTTGCACAGTTCAGCCTCTAGCACAGGTAAAGTCCACTTCCTTCCTGAATGCTGTACCATTCGCATGGATTCTAGAATTGTCACAACAGGCCAGGTGAGCTGCAAAAAATCTTTTTCATAAAAAGCGTTCACAAGCAGTGAAAGACAAGCAGTGGGCAACACAGGCCCTTGACCGGCAGCCCAGTCAGGGAGTTGAGGTCTAAGGCAGCCCCGAGGCCCTACACACCCAGAATAGCTGGCTTTGAATCAGCCAGAGAAAGGTCCACCCTGAGTTTTCGTGCCCTGTCTCGAAACACAATACCCAGCGCCTGGGCCTTCCTGTGAAACCAATTAAATACCCGAGGTAAACGCGCGCCATTCCAATCAGAAGGGATTTCCAAATCCCCCATCTCGGTCCATCTCTAACAAAGCATGACACACAGGCCGGTCCCCACCATCTCCCCACAGGCAGGCTCCCTCTGAAACTGCTTTTCGCTAAGTGAAGCCTCTTTCGCCCCAGGATTAGCAGCAATACCTGCGGTCCATCCCGAAAGTAGCACCCTATTGAGTGGGGTGGAAGGGTCTTATTTAGCTTTCCTGAGCAAGAGACTAGTTTCACACCGGGAAAGCAATACTTAAACTACGCTGAGATCAATGAGTAGAGCCAGGTAGGTTTGTTTTTGCTGTTGTTGTTGTTTGTTTGTTTTTAGGGTAAATAGTTGATAAGCAGGTACTCCAATTATAGTAGG